TCTGGCTCTCAATTTTTGTCAAGGAATTTGTTACAAGGATTATTTCTTAGAAGTATCGTTAAACTTAATAATTATATTCCGTTGCAAAATGAAAGAGCTTGTGGAGTCCTGGACGTAACAGAACCTTCTGTAATTTCGTATTAAAACAAAATGTTCCGGACGGGCGGAAATAACCTTGCGTCAAATTTAGATAACGCAAAACGGGGTTTAGACAGAGAAACTGTTAGGCCAGCTCAGGACGCAGTAGACAGAGAAATAACGCAAATGCAACACAAGCTAGCCGGAGTTTGTGATGCGGGGGCCGCGGGAGGTCCGAGGTCAGGTAGGCCGAGTCATGACGCCATCGAGGAAGTTTTACGTCAGGTCTTGCGGACAGTAGGGGCGATGGAAGCACGGGAAACGCGGTAGGTAGGCAAGTGGGGGAGCTACGCGAAGAAAGAATGCGCGAAACAGGTGCTCCACCCACACGAAGAAACACACACGTACGCCCGAGCGAGCATCTCAATATCACTACGGACGGACGAACGGATGATGACATCCAAAACCATGTAGTAAACAGGAGGTAGCTACAATTGAAAGACGCGGTGAATTTAATACTACCGTTTGACGAAAAAGTAGCTGAGCAGATACGCGAGTTTTCGAACGCGTGTGAGTATGCAGCGGAAGTTGTTACCACGTTGGATAAACTTGCTTTGTTACAAGCAGTGTTGTGTACTAAGTTGCGAGGTCAGGCTTTAATAGACTTCGAGACAAAGATTATCTGCAATATCCGACAATTAAAAGAGGAAGTTGAGAACACTTACGCTGCAAATAAAAGTGTTACTCAGTTGCAGATAAATTTTAACACGTTAAGGCAAAAGAGTAGCGAAAGTGCACAAACGTACGGCCAACGTGTAAATCAGATCGCCATGGAGTTGTATGGGGCCATGGTGGAAGGTAGGAGACACATCGTTGAAGAAAAACGTATCATTATAAGCACAATCAAAAATCAGGCGTTGCAACAATTTCAGATAAGATTAAAAACCGAAATTAGAGTACTAATTTGCACACAAAATTATGGAACTCTACAGAAGGCCATAAATGCGACCAGCTCGGAAGAAAAAGTAACAAAACCTCATAGCGGTCAAATAAAAAAGCAGATCCGCAAAATAAAAGAAATTATAATAAAGACACATGTTTTAAATGCGGAAAGCATGGACATTTCGGTCAAGATTGCCGAGTCAGCAATGTGTCATTGCCAATGGCAGGCGGCAGAGTAAATGCCGTTGAAAAATATTGCAATTATTGCAAGAAAACAGGACATTCCAGGGAAAATTGCTGGGCCCTGAATGGTAAAAAGAAGTATCTAGAAAAGAAAGTGAAGGATACATCGCATAAGAAGACAAGTAAAAAGCAGAATCAAAGTGACAGCAGCGACTCATCTGAAAGTGAGGATGGAGGCAGCATGGAGGAAAAGGCTATAAAAGTAGCGGAGCTTTAAATTGCAGAAATAGACACCACGCAAGCAAGTCTGGACATTGTAAAAGTGCCAATTAAAGAGACAAAGCGTGGAGTAGTGATATAAGAAGAGTTCTAACCCAGAAGCTCAAAGGGGCGGCGCGGGGGATGATGTCTCAGGGGAGGGGTGACGTCACGACGACGTCACGCGGGAGGAGAGGAGGTATGACGTCACGCGGGAAATGACGTCACGGTGACGTCACGCGGGGGCGTGGCACTGACGTCACAAGATATGACGTCACGCGGGAAATGACGTCATCCATTATGGCGACTTCACGCGGCGGACTCCGGTATGGCGACTTCACACGCAATATGGCGGTTCGACAAAATGGCGTCACAGGATATGACGTCACGCGGCAGGCACCGGTATGGCGGCTGCAATATAGCGGCAACTTCAAGGTATGTGTGTATTTTTTACTATATGCATGGTATATACTTTTTAATGCTGTGCGACAATACCGCGTCTCCAAGATGTATATATCTACGTTTTGGTATATATGTACATTTTTTTATATAACAGAAGTATGAAAAAACATGCTTAGGACAACTAGGAGGGTATATCTACGTATTGGTATATATGTACATGTTTTTTATATAACAAATATAAAAAAACATGCTTAGAACAACTATGTAATGTAACCTTATAAGCAGTTTTTAGCGAGAGCGCGCAAAGTTGAGGAGGTGCAGTTTTTAGCGAGAAGTAACAAAGACGTACTATTCACTTTTATATTCAAATTTTATTAAAACTTTTGTACATATTAGTTACATGCGTCGCACATAATAACTTTTAAAGCGCACGCTATTAATTTACAGTCTATAAGAGTAGTTAAGATATAGGGGTTCTGATGCAGGGGATCCGCGAGGGGGTGAGGGGGAGGGGAGGAGTAACTGCGTGCGGAAAGGAGAAGGGGAAAGGAAGAATTACTGGAGGTTTTTCTGAGAAAAACCCCAAAGGGAAGGGGAAGGAGGAGTCAATGGAAGCATATTCGTAATAATGAGAGCAGAATCTGAGGAGTTGGGTGTTGCGGATGAGATAACGTTGGAGTGTGGGTGATGTTGGAGGAGCGTTGTTATCGGCTCCACCGGAATTAGCCAATTATCGGCGAGCCGCAAAAATGGAGCGTGCAATATTCGACGTGTGTTCTATTTTATTTCAGATATCGGTGACGTCATTGGTTGCAACGTGTTCGAACTTGTTCGTGTGTGTTCAAGGTTGTTCGGGACAATGACGTCATCGCTAAACTATAAATTGCGCAATAAAACAAAATAATTCCAAGAAAAACCGCAAATTTTCCGGAAGCGGTCGCGTTTAAAAATAAGTAGCGTGCAGTTTGCAATTGCGCAGCAAACAAATAAATAATTCCGAGAAAAACCGCAATTTTTCGGAAATACATAATTCCGAGAAAAACCGCAAATTTCCCGAAAGCGGGTTTGCGTTTAAAAATAAATAGCGCGCAGTTTGTAATTGCGCGGCAAACAAATAAAATATTTTCGAGGAAAACCGCAATTTCCCGGAAGTAAGCCTGTTCTTATCGCCCTAAGCGATCAGCCGCTTCCGGTTTGATGACGCACTTACATACCGGATGTGGTGTTTTTGAAACGCACTTTCAAACCTAAAGATTTCGAGAAAAGATAAAGAGCAAAATAAAAAGACACTTCAAAGTTGGCAGCGAGTCACAAATCATGTTGATCGCAAGTCGTATAGATAACAAGTCGTTGTTGTTGTTGAATATGTATAACAGATCGAACACAACGTGCATTTTAAACCTATCGGTCGAAGAATTGGAAAACATTCCAAAGAGGATTCTTTTAGTAGTGTTCGATAATCACGTGGAGCTTTTGTGGGATCGACTGCCTGAGCATTTGAAGGAAGATCCGCAGCTGTATTGTAGATGTCTCGAGCATTACAATCAACCGGGAGACTACGATCACATTGACGGACCTGCTCCGCTGAAAAAATATTGTCGCGCGTGTAGTGCGAAAGCCAAGATGGAAAATCAACAATGAATCGGATCAGACAACCGAAATCGCTTCAGTTCCTAGCTGCAAAAACTGTAGCAGAACACGTAGACGAGTACATTGAAATACACAATCTTGAAATTCCTAAAATATGCAAAGACGCAATACGAGAAATCTGGTTCAATGTACGGCTCTATCGCTACGATCGCGATATACATTGGTTATCGGTGCACGATCTACCTGAGGAACAAATATGGGAAGTGGAAAACAATTTCAATGAAGAGGATTTGAAAATCGTGCAACTATCCGCGCTCACAATTAGAGAATGCGAGCGGCTTCTAAGGTACGTCGAGACTGTCAATCACATCGAAATCGCGTACATCGAGTTTAGAACGAGTAGCGCGGACCTGAAACATCTGTCTCGCTTGTGCATCCGATGCGCGTTGCGAGTGTGGGTGTGGTGTAAACGACAACATCGGTACAAGTGGTTGCAGAATAGGTGGGTAAAAGTCACCGGACATCAAATGATCGAAGACGCTGATTTCATGACAGACGTTATATGGAATTCAGAGCGATGGTGTTCCAACTGCTACAGACAATCGTTGTTTGTTTTGTATACAGAGGATGATTGTTACTGGAACACTGAGTGGCACAAGGATACATCCCTCGATGATGATGACTATGAGCAACTACTGGATGAAAAGATAAAAAAGCGTAAATTGAATCCAACAAATATATACGATCCAATAATACTATCGTGAGTAAAACAACTATATATGAGTAAAAGCAAACTACAAAACATGAACGATCGCGAACCGCTCGAAGAAGAGGCCGCGCTCCTCGACACGTTGGACAATTACATTTCGTGGGAGGAACGGTGCGACGAACGTCTAGAGACACTGAGAGAAGAGTGCTGTAGAAAACGCCGGCGACCGTCCACAGGTGTGATAACTTGGCACGTCGCTCGTATCGCGCGACTCGAAAGTCTGCGCGCAACCCTCCGCGAACGATTCGCGCACGTGGGCGCGGGTTTCGAGAGTGCGGGACTCGCATGGATCGAAGTCGAGACGGCGTTTAAAAATCGTTTGGTGACCGGTATCGTGGTGAACAAGTCGTCCATCGAGCCCCGTCGATTTCTCGAAGCCGCTAGAGACACGGTGCTCGCGCGCGTTCATCGAGCGATTGAGCGGCACGCTAGTGTGACAGTGAACACAGTGTTCAACGGGAAGTTTGTCGCGGGTGAAAAAAAGAGTGTGAAATCGTTCAATACGCGCAATCGCGCGTTGTATCACTCGTTGGATCTGCGCGAGTGGTACGATCGAGATGTGATGGATGCGACAATGACCACTCTGGAGGAGTTCCAGAAACGCGACAGCGGTTGGGCGTTGACGCAGATACTGAACCTCACAGTAAATGTGAACAGTCACAATCCGATGCACGCGGGATGTCAGATTAAAATATCGCGTGAGGTTCAGCTCAAACACGCGGTAGTGAAAGTACAGTAGCTGGACAATGCGTGTTTCGCGTGGGCAGTGGTCACCGTGATGTATTCTAGTGCTAAAGACACACATCGACCGTCACAATATCCCGCGTACGCGAGCGTGTTGAACTTTGATGGAATAGAGTTTCCAATGACATTGCGCCAAATCGCGCGTTTCGAACGCAACAACAACAATGTGTTCGTAAACGTGTTTACGGCGGGGGAACAGGGACGCGGATACGTGCCGTTGCATCTCACGTCGAACAAGAAGGAGAAGCATGGAAATCTACTGTATGTTCCCGATCAACACAATGAACACGTGGGACACTTTGCGTGGATAAAAAATTTATCGCGTTTAGTCAGCTCGCAATTGAGCAAAATGAAGACAGCGAAGTATATATGCGATCGGTAAGTACAAATGAGTGGTATAACAGTACCAACAATGTTGAATAAAAAGTAAGTTACGAAATTGTGAGATGATGAACTCATTAATCAATGGTGCGTATATTGTTCTTTTATTGCAACACGTACATAGATGTCTACACTACTTCTACACGAGTGATAAGCTGAAGGTACACACCGTGGATTGTGAACGATAAAACAACAGCGCAGTCGTTCTACTTGCTGAGGGAAAAAACTGTTTGAAATTTGAGAATTACAACAACAAGGGACGGGTTCTAATGGTGGTGTACGCCGACTTGGAGTACGTACTGGAGAAACAGGACAAAGAGGAGAACGCATCGAGCGCGCACAAATACAAAGACACAGCGTGTTCAGCATCGGTTATTACGCGAGCTGCGAGCACATTGACATCGGATACAGATCTCATAGAGGCGAGAACTGTGTGCAGTGGTTCGTAAACAAACTGCACGATCTCGCGAAACGTGCGAAGAACTTGTTCGCAACAAATGTACCCATGGCAAATCTCACACCAGCGGAGTTCGAGCGGATTACGAACGCCGAGTGTTGCAACATCTGGGAACGACCGTTCGAGCGAGATGACACAAGAGTGCGCAATCACTGTCATCTGACGGGACGTTTCAGAGGACCCGCGCACTCCGCGTGCAATCTGAATTACAAACAGGTCTACATTGTTCCCGTTGTGTTCCACAACTTGTCGNGATACGACGCGCATTTTATTATCAAGGATGTGGCCACCGCTTATGAGGGCGAGATCAACGTGCTGCCCGTGACAAAAGAGACCTACATATCGTTCACAAAACATGTGAGCAGTACTTGAAATGAAGACAATCAGAAGTGCGTGCAACTGCGATTCATCGATTCGTAGAAATTTCTGAGCACAAGCTTAGAAAAGCTCGCGTTCTATCTCGACAAGAGCGAACTGCGAATGACTCGAACGGAATTCAACGATCTCTCCACCGAGAACTTCGAACTGCTCACGCGAAAAGGTGTGTTTCCATACGAATACGTGGACAGCGTTGACAAATTGTTAAAAACAGGTTTGCCGCCGCGCGAGGCGTTTTACAGTTCGCTGACCGGCGAGACTGTGACGGAGAGTGAGTACGCGACAAATGTCTGGCGACGATTTAACATCGACAATTTGGGATCTTACAGCAACCTGTATCTGAAGACAGACGTTCTTTTGCTGGTTGATGTATTCGAAAACTGTCGTCGCGAGAGCCTCGCGAGTTACGGACTGAATCCCGCGCACTACTACACGCTGCCAGGATATACATGGGACGCCATGTTGAAGTACACTCGTGTGACGTGTGAGCTGCTGACAGACAACGACATGTTGATGTTCGTGGAACGCGGCATACGCGGCAGTTTGAGTCAATGTTCAAACAGATACGCCCGCGCCAACAACAGGTACGCGCAATCGTACGATCCATCCGAACTGTCGTCGTATCTGACGTACTACAACGTAAACAATCTCTACGGATGGGCGATGTATCAACCGCTTCCATATGGTAACTTTGCGTGGGTGGAGAACGCGTACGAGGTCGATGGGACAACGGTCGCCGCGGACAGCGACGTTGGCTACATCTTCGAGGTCGATCTGACGTATCCGAAAGAGCTGCACGACGCGGACAGAGATCTACCCTTTTGTTTAACGCGTAAGGTGCCGCCTGGTAAACATGGAAAGAATCACGTCAAACTGCTCGCCACAGTGTTCAACAAGAAGCGATTCGTAAATGACTACCTGAACCTGCAGCAGTGTCTGCGATACGGGATTCGCCTGACGCGAATACATCGAATACTGCGGTTCTCGCAATCGCCTTGGCTGCGCGGATACATCGAACTGAATACCCAATTCTGCGCGAACGCCACCAACGAGTTTGCAACAAATCTTTATAAACTTATGAACAACGCGGTGTTCGGCAAGACAATGGAGAACGTGCGCAAGTACACCGACGTACGATTTGTTACAAAATGGGAAGAACGATGCGGTGCGGAGGCGCTAATTGCAAAACCAAACATCCACAGCCGCAGCGTGTTCCCTGAAGATTTAGTGGCAATAGAACTGCGTCGTCTGGAAGTTTTATTCAACAAACCGTTGTATGTTGGTATGTGCATACTCGACATATTGAAGACCTGTCTGTATGAATTTTATTACGACTACATGGCGCCGTTGTACGGTTACGACTGCAAGATCCTCTACACCGATACCGATAGTTTGATATACCACATAAAGTGCGAGGACGTGTACGAGGATATGAAGCGCGATATCGCTCGCTTCGATCGAGCGACTATCGAGCGGACAATCCATACAACATGCCTTGCGCAAACAAGAAGGTACCGGAACTTATAAAGAATGAGAACAACGGTGCTGTTATGACGGAGTTTGTGGGTTTGCGCGCAAAGATGACTCGAGTGGGCGACAGCAAGTGCACGAAGAAGGTGAAAGGTGTGAAGAGAAGCGTCGTCGCGAGAACGATCACCTTCGACGACTACGTGCAATGTCTGCGGAACGCAACCGAACTGACGCGACANCAGTCGTGCATACGATCTCGGTTGCACGAAGTGTTCACCATGTCGGAACGGAAGCTCGCTCTGAGCCCGCACGACGACAAGCGGTACATCATCCATGGATCGACCGACACCTTACCGTGCCACTACAAGATCCCTAACTTAGTCTAGATTATGTTGTTGATATAATAATAATACATTAAATAAAGTATATGTCATTGTTGTTTTTATTGTATTAAAAAACATATGTACTATTGTATAAAATATATATAAGAATAAAAGAAAATACACATAACGGAATAATAATATTATACCACATTGTTTTTATTTATCCTGGAATTGTGTAAATTGTTGAGTCCCAACCACTTGACCAACACCTCGTTGCCTCGACGACGCAGAACCTTTTCTACGAGATACACATCCGGATGTTTAACCGCGTGCAACTCGTGCTCATAAAATCCGCCGGCTAATGGTTCACCGCGATAATCCTCGAGCAGATAGATCGCTGGTGAAGTTTGTTGCACCTTTTTAACCCAAAACACCTCGGTGGTCCAGTTTGGTGTATAACCCTTCGCAAAGACAGTTTTGTACTTGCTCACGCGCACAGGATCGCCGACTGTGAATCGCGCCGGTCCTGCGATTTTAACGTTGCTGTACACCGTGCGCAAGAGTCGCTTGCTCGAAACCGGCGTTACGTCGATCGGTCGCGCACCGATGCTTGTGCGCGTTGTACTCCGCCACAAGTTGCTGCAGATCGTCGATCCAGCGATACGATCCGTTTAGCGTAAACATTTTCCACATGTTGTTCTTGAGCGTGCGATTGAAATCCTCAACCACCGACGCTTTCATAACAGAATATGTGGAGTAGTGATTAACACCGTGCTGACGCATAAGATATTCCACATCCGCGTTGTAGAACTCCTTGCCGCGATCTGTTTGCAGATTTGTCGGACAACAATGGTCGGCGCGAAAGATTTTCGCGAACGCCCCAGCGACCTCTTTGCCGCTCTTGCTCTTAAGCGGCAACGCCCACGCGTACTTGCTCAACACATCGATGACTGTGAGAATGTAGTTGTGACCTTTGTTCTGACGAACGTAAGGGCGCATCTCGACCACATCGGCCTGCCACATATCGTCGTAACCGCGCACGACCACACGTCTGCGTGGAAAGTTGCGTCGCGCGGGCGCGTGCAGCTCCTCTGCGAGCTCTCTCTTCTCGACGCTCATGTTTTGTTTTGTCCCTATGGTATCTGCTTGTTTTTCTTTATCAATTCTTGCACAGTTTGGTAAATGGTGTGCAAATCATAACCCAGACTGTTCGTTTGCAGTGAACTCAGATCATATTTTACCTTGTTCAGAGATTCCCGTAATGGTGAAATATATGTTTCCAACACTTTGTTATGCAAGCCCGCGGTTTGCGTACGAATGAATTCTTGAACATGAGCCGGAACGTCGCGCAACAACTTGTTCACATTCGTTTGATAAGATTCAATCTGCTTTTTCAGGTCTGCATGTGTATTTTCCAGCTTATCCAATTGATCGTTTTTTTTGCAGATGCTCAACGGTCTTTTCCACTGTTTGTTGTAATTGAATCAAGTTGTTTCTCAAGGTTTTGATTTCTTGCGGATCTGCACCCCGCGGCCTCTTCTCCAGCTTATTCAATCGATCGTGCGCGTTTGTTCGCAGATGCTCAATGTCCTTGCTCAGTGCTTTGCTTGAGTGCCCCGCCTGTACTGTATGTTCCTCAAACATTTGTCGGCTAATAAACTTTTTCACGTTGCGACCTGCAGCGTCGTACGCTTGTGAAAGAGCGTCGTCTACGTAGAACTTGGTCGCGGCGTCGGAATCGTTTTGCGGTTTCTTCAAACGAGTTATCGCGCGCTCCTTCGTACTCGGCTGATGACGCGGACAAACAGAGAGCGTAGTTGCGTACGTAATTGCGCAAAATAGCTAGTCAAAAGCGTTCTTTGTCATTGTAGTCGTAACCGCGCCTTTGCAACGTCGAACCAAACTTGTTGACGCTCATCGCGCGCAAACGGAACTGTCGACGTTCCTTGAGCAACGGTTCAATTTATAATCACTCCTGCCTCGCGAAGCTCCTCGATGATGGACAAAAACTCGTTGTCATGCGAGTCGTTTCCCGCGCGACGAGACGCCTCCAACAATCTCAAACAATCCACGAGTTCGTTGGGATCATCTCAGTGTACGTAATCTATCGCGTTGTTGGTCAATTTCATGGCTATCGGATGCAATCCTTCACCCGTCGTTTAGTGAACGTTGAAGAACAACGGTGCAATAATATTTTTGTACTTGTGACCTTTGTTGCTCTTTTCAGGCGCTGTGGGACGATGATCCCGTCTGTGAGCGTTAGTTGTCAGCAACAAATCGCGATACACGCGTTTGTCGCTCTCGGTATACGCGGTGCTGTCGGGCTGCTTCATGAATATCAATTTGTACAGACCCGGTGTGCTCGCGTATCGAACGTCGTCCACGATGATAGAATCGTCGGAACCAACGTCGAAGCGTTTGCTGCCGAGCATCGTACCTTCCTTGCCAAAGTACATGCCGAATGTTGTGTCAATGGTTTTCGATCTGTCGGTGCTCAACAGATCGCCGATGTATCTGCGATCCAACGGTCCCAAACGCTGGAGCAACATGTTTCTCGTTTTGCCGTCGCTCGTTCGCGCGAGTTCGTTGACCGTGCGTTCGAGCAACGTGGGCGACGCGGGCGGCTCGGGTGTTGGGATCGCATCGCTGTTGTTGTTATTACCCATGGAAGAGTAATAATAATGTCAACGGTGCGACGTTTGATCGGCGTCTTTTTGGTTTTAACGGCGTCGGTCTCGTCGCCGCGTCGTCTTCGAGCTTCCTCTTCACACCCGCTGTATAAAAACTTTCCGTTGGTTTTGCGCTCTCCAGAAGTTCCTGCAACGGTTTAACAATCGGCTTGAATTGTTGTTCGAGAGCGAGCTCGTTCTCGATGCAACCCGTTTTGCACGATCGATGTTTCTTGCGTATCAATTCGCGCGTTCAAGCGATCTCTTTCGCCAAACGCTCGCGTTTGTCGATATCGGCGGTCAACGCCGACGCGCGCGAAACCTCGTCGTCGTCGGTGCTCGACATACCGGGTGATACTCTATTGACCACAGTACGATTCGACACCGCTCGATTCGACACAGATTTATTCGACACGAAATTATTCGACACCGTACGATTCGACACGAAATTATCCGACACCGTACGATTCGACACCA